ACAGGTAATTTTAATCTTATTTCATCTACATTTATATTTAATAATGGTTTTGCTAGATCTATGTCATAACTATTACCAAGTGGTCTAAATCTTAAGCGGTCTTCACACGGCAAACTAACTCGAGTTTGAGAGTGTGAACATTCCAACAACTCGCCACCAACACCAATTTCAAAGATGTCAAACTCTTGTCGAGAAATAGGCTCGGTCTCTATTCTCACCAACATTTCCATCAAACTTCCGGTGTTGTCAAATTCGAGTTTGACGTGTGAAGTGTTGTTAAGCTCGTGTTGTTCAGAAACAACCAATCGCAGTCAACGAAATTATCACGTGACTCCACCGATAGAGTCATGGCGCTCAAATGACACGTGTGAAAACGCGAGTTTGACAACTTTTAAAATTTTGTCAACATGTGTTGTCAAACTTTAGTTTTCCGTGTGAAGGCCGCTTTAAAATTAGAAAAAATAAGTAATACAATAAATGAAAAGCATTTTTTTGGGTCGCCCGCCCACTGGTTGGGGTTGGAATTGAGAATCACATATAGAATACGGATTGCCTCAAATGAAATGTTTCGATTATATGTGTTCTGTATAACTACTTAAGCAAGTTAATATTATTATTATTAGGGTCGTGTATATATCAATTATTGGACAATTTGTAATGAAATAGCGACATTTCAAGTCTAGACGAGAACGAGAACAAGTCTAGAGGACGAGTGGGGGTAGACAGGTGGGTTTATCAACTGAATAGCGTTTAAGAATGACGACGACAATTATAGCTGTGGATAATAGGGACGCTAATCCATCCAATGATGCTATGACACGCTGTATGAATGTGGAACAGCTGACTTAATGTAAGGAGGTATTTAACGGCTTATCTCTATTATATATGTCATGTATCAAATTAACGCATTGTCAATAGAAGCCCGACAGGACATCAGCGTTCTAAATCATATCACGCCACAATATTTTCTTGGACTTACAGTGTTTCTGGGCTGTGTTTGGGCTATTCGAAGAAAACTTAAACACTGGTTGATATTTACAGGCTAGAATTACGGCAAATGTTTGTTATTCGTGGCGAGATGTTTAAAACGGATGTTAAAGTGGATATCGAGTTGTCTGACAGACAAATAGATACTGTTTTGATAACGTCTCACTTCTGTTGAACATTAAAAAAATAAAATTTCGAACAATAAAATCAGTTACAAATTTACAGTCGTGAGATTTTTTGGTTTTGAGTGTTTGTATAGTTGTTTGCTTAATGCCACCCTCAGCAATATTCCACCTATATTTAGCGGCGGTCTGTAGATAGTCGAGTTTGGACCAGACAATCCAGCGATCAACAGCATGAGTATCGATCTACGCAACTGAGATACTTGTTTGTTTACACAAGGGCTTGTAACGTAACAAAACTGTCAAATTACATGGTCTTGGCACCACATTTATAGATCCCAATACAGGTATGGTTCTTAGACGCTTTCAATGACAATACATGAATCCTGATGCAAACCCAAGTGGTTGTTTCACGTCGCACTTTTTTCAGCTGTATATAGGTCTCTAACAAAATCTAATCTGGTCCAAACAATCCAGTGATTGACATCGATCTACACATGGGGATACTACAGTCACGAGAGACAGTTCTGGGTACAAACGAATTCGTAGCAACAGATGAAACATCAAACAAACACATCAAACATACACACCCAGACACAAAAATATAATTTACATTGAAACGTCTTTCTGTCTTCTTTGGAACGTGTTACGTGTGAGTGAGGCTATCAGCAATATTCCACCAATATCACGTGGAACGTTAAATGTATGGATTTCGTATACTGTACTCATGTGGGAATCCATGATTGTTCTTCGGTGTAAAGGTCTTGTCATTTCAAATTTGGGGTTGTTAGGGTTGGAGACATGAACAAATGGTATTATGGAAGAAAAGGGGAGTGACGTCGGCAAACAGTGATGTGGCTTCAGTGGAGGGTGGAGAAGAGCTTATGATGAAGATGTTGACTTTGTTTGCTATTGATATTCTGCCAATACGCAAATACATTTAGCATTGCCCAAGTTTTAGCTGCTTGCACGCATACAAATACGCATGAACATAACTATAGATATTCTGCCCATATGCGTAGAATACACAAACACATTTGGCACTACCCAAGTTTTAGTTGCTAACGTAGAAACACGCATGTAAAAGCTATAGATATTCTACGCTTTTCGTGAAAAATACGCAAAATAACTTAGCATTACCGATGGTTTAGCTTCTTTGGTACAAATACGCATGAACATAGCTATAGATATTCTACGCATTTGCGTGAAATATACGCAAAGTAACTCAGCATTACCGAAGGTTTAGCTTCTTGGGTACAAATACGCATGAACAAAGCTCTAGATATTCTGCCCATATGCGTAAAATACACAAAAACATTTGGCACTACCCAAGTTTTAGTTGCTCGCGTAGAAACACGTATGTAAAAAGCTATAGATATTCTACGCATTTTCGTGAAATACGCAAAATATGTCAGCATTAACCACGTTTTAGTTGTTTGTGTACAAATACGCATGAAACAAATCAAAATCCAAGACTACAATTATACTGCGTGTATTAAACATGATTTTAACAGGCGTATCTGTATTCCTTCACGGCTCTTTGTTCACTGATGCAGGCATGACATTCATGAACTCTACTGCTGTGACTCAAATACTTATTGTCATCAGTAAGCAAGATTTTTAGCAAAATTGGTTATTGTTGGTTATAAAATACCTTGGTGACTCAGGCTAAATTTTTTTGAAAATGATGATTGTACGCTGAAAAAGTATCAATACCATATGTGAATGATAATACCTGAGAGCATAGTCCATGACTTTAGAAATGTTTCTTCAGCTCTGGATGAACATAAGCGTATATATGTTACAGGAAATATGTATAATCAGTAAATATGTATAATTACTGAAAATTTCAGTAATTATGTATAATGTCTGATTCACTCAGGAATTATGTATATTTACTGAAATTTTCAGTAATTATACATAATTCCTGAAATTTAAGAAACAAAATTATACATATTTACTGAAATCATTTGAATGACTGAAATATTGATATTACTCTTAAAGTCAGTCTGGTTTTCAAAGATATGTGTTCATTTTTTAGGAACAAGGTACAGCACATTGATTTTCATGAATTTTATTTCATTGTGTTCATGAATGTCTATTTGAATTTTTGAGTTTGAACATCTTTGCCTTGTAACGAGTGCAATACAATAGTAGAATACTACGACCACGATGATTGTGCGACCTCACTTATATGATCATATTCTTCCGAGTGTAATTGTTTGGTACTTTATAGAACAATATAAATTGTTTGGCTAATTTAGCAATCGAAAAGCGTCGTTTTATGTATGTACGTGTATTCTGTTTTTGTTTTAGATTTGTGTTTGTTGGTTTGTTTGTGTGTGTGTGCGTTGTGCGCGAGCGTGCGTGCATGCGTGTGTGCGTGTGCGTGCGAGTAAAGTATAAGTCAATGAACACGTGCGCTCCTAAAGACACAGGGAACGTGCAGTCCTATCGGCGGCGGTTTTAAGTGTTGCAGACAAAGTCTAAAATGTGATTCACTTGAGTAAAACTTATTTCAGTCATTTTACATTTTACTGAAAAACATGTCCATTAATTTGACGAATTGTAAGACAGTTATTAAGAAGATCAAAAGTTCTCTAAAACATCACAACAGACACTTTATGTCAGGATAAACATGATAACATCGACATTGACTTTCGTTATCTTTTACTCCCATCATTTTCAGTTACTGGGCAGTGACATCAGCATAGGCATGTTTGGAATTCGTCATCATAAATAGAGAATCTCACCCAAGTGTCTACTGATATCAATAATGTTGATATAATTGATATCAGTAGACACGAGGGTGAGATTCTATTTACCATCAAAAATCATTCTTCATTAGTTTTCAATGAAAAATGTACATCTCTCAACACTGTACTACCATTAGACTTGCAATGCAGCGATGTCATAGCATTGTGACGTCATCGTATTGTACAAAATCTACTGTCAAAACGATATCTCCTAGGAGATATCATATGATCTTACACAAGCGATATCTCCCGTGGAACACAGTTTTGGATGATAAAGAAACTGATTGACCGACTGTCCACCTGCAAACTGACTAAATTATTCGTGAACTACTAAGTCAAATATTGGCTGTTTTTACACATTGCCTGCATTATTTACAGACCGCCGCCATATTGCTGAGTGCGACGTCAAACACATTGCTGAGTCAAGAAGTGGGGCATAATGATACTTTTACGTGCGCTTCCTTGTATTACGTTACACTAGAGACAAGACTGCGGGGTTTTAATTCTGCACCCAGAGAAATGAAATCAGTATTCAGTCCAGAATATGAAGACAGTGTAATTAGTGACTCGTAAAACTGAAACACTCTAATTATTTCAGATTTCAGTTATTGATAAAGCCGAAGTAACCCAATATTCTGAACATTTATACAACACAAAAGGTAATGTACATGTTTTTATTAAAGTGCTGCCTTCTGACCAAAATGAACATTCCGTGTAACTTATTTTCTTTTTACGCGTAGTTAGGAAAGACACTGAATTTTTTAAAAACAAAATCAGTACAATGTATCCGTATATTCGATATCAGACTCCTTATTCTACTGGCTGTGTTAAAACAGAGACCATATAATAGATAGAAAATCTGTATTATGGTCTCTGGTTAAAAATAAACAATTCTGAAAACAAAACCACACGACAATACAGCATTAAAATGAAAAACAAACGGTATAGAATAATATATTAGAAAGCAAGCAGGGTGTTGTTTTCAAGTACGACGTTTTGTTTGCAAGCGCAATCTCGCTCCTTTGTTGTGACAACATTCATTCGAAGCCTCGCTCGCCAAACTGAACCATTTCGGAAAACAGCCATTGTTCAACCGGGTGACGGAAATATCCGAACAAATCTGAATGCGATAGCATTCCCTCGCAACAAAATGGCGGACAGCGAAAATGGCCCAGGTCGAAAACTACCTCCAATATCACCTCGTGCGAAAAATCCTGACACTGATGCTCCAGTGAAGCCTGTCAGAAAGAAGAAAAAGAAGCCGGCTGCTGATCCTGACATCGGGTCGGGCACAGAGGACGCTAAACCGACTCCAAGGCGAAGGAGAAGAACGCCAAGTGCGAGTAGAGACACGGATGGAGAGGATAAACCAGTCGAGGAGACGACAACACCAGCACCAAAAAAGAAAAAGAAGAAAGCAAAACCGAAAGAACCAGCTGCTGAGACTGAGGACCAGCCTGTGTCTGACAGAAGTGCCACCAGAGACGAGGTATTTAGGCCTTTACTGAGAATATGTACATAGCTGAAATACACTGGTTCAGTTTTCGATCACTGTTTGCAACATTACTCTATCTTGTGAACATGATCAGCAATAACACTTAAGTCATGCAGGACACACTGCTGAATGTTTATGTTAAGCATTTCCCGTTAATTTCTCTCGGCAAAGTAGTAATACCATATTTGGTCATGTGTGTGATTTACTTCTGTAAAAAGTGTATGGTACAAGACACCCATAACACGTTAATGGTGTTATGGTGGGACCCTCTATTATCTGTGTAGTTAATGTTGTCGATATCGGGATTATGAACGCCTACTGACATTTGGTATTTTATACATGTTTTCAGTTGACTGATGTTAAATCTTCATTTCTGTCACAAATAATGTTGCACACAGTGACAATCGCAACTCTATCAATAGATTGGGCAATCCCGATTGCCTCGTTTGACCCGGAAATTGAAGCAACTCTCTATTATCGCAGTCTTGCTAGTTTCTTACTATGTCAAGCGGTACAAGCAAATGACACTGTCAAACGTTTCACTTAAGACATGTAACGAATCTAAATAGTTTTGATATTGAATATTTAGGAATTTCATTAAGATTAATAATATCTTCATGTTTTTAACCAAAACATCTGAAACTTCTGTTCATTTTGATACAAGGTGACAATAACGTAACAAAATATTTTTTTTTGCCGCCTAAAACGTACAATACATACAATGTGCTGCCGTGTGCAGGGTGAAGTTGCGACAATACGTCACTTCCTGTTATAGTTTTAGAACGGAAAATATGCAAATGACCTTATAGTTGCCGCAGGACTATTCTTGACAAAGGAAGTTTGATTCGTGCAAGTTGCAAGGCGGTTAGGGGTCATATAGTTTCAAAATGTTCCAGAAGTTACTGCAAAGATGAATACTTTAATATTTCTACGTTTAGACTTGACATTCCGATGAAATAAATGACTTTGTTAAGAGCGATGAATTTTTTTTCGTAATTTGTATATGTAAACAGCCGATGCGGTGCGTGTTATTTCCAGTTTTCAGATGTTTTCACTTGCCGCGATAATACTGACTGACTGACTGAGTTTGGTTTTACGCCGCTTTTAGCAATATTCCAGCAACATCACGGCGAGGGACACCAGAAATGGGCTTCACACATTGTGCCCATGTGGGGATTCGAACCCGGGTCTTCAACGTGACGAGCCAACGCTTTAACCATTAGGCTACCCCAGCCCTTGCCGCGATAATAGAGTGTCCAAGTATAATAGAGCTGCTACAGAATACACCTGCCAACATTTTTCTATCCAAGGGGGATAACCAGTGTGACCCTAACACATCTAGCCAAAATGATTGAGGAGGCATGTGGAATCAGTGTTATGATATTTAATAATTGTTTTGGAGACATCTATCTGCTTTTGATCACAGGGGCTTGTAACGCTAAAAACTGCCATCAAGTTATATACTGTCACTGACAGGGTCTTATAGTACTAAGACCCCATCAGTGACAGTATATAACTAAGACCCCATCAGTAACAGTATATAACTAAGACCCCATCAGTGACAGTATATAACTTAAACTAAGATCCTATCAGTGACAGTATATAACTAAGACCCCATCAGTGAGAGAGTATATAACTAAGATCCTATCAGTGAGAGTATATTACTAAGATCCTATCAGTGAGAGTATATAACTAAGATCCTATCAGTGAGAGTATATAACTAAGACCCCATCAGTGACAGTATATAACTAAGATCCTATCAGTAACAGTATATAACTTGATGGAAGTTTTTAGCGTTACAAGCCTCTGAGGTTTCGATGCTATTTATTTTCTGACCAATTGATTCTGTAATCGCAAGTGATACATTCAACATGTATAGTTCCTGGTGTCAGTTAAATGGGGTCTTTTACTCAAATATTATGCCTCACTGCTCTAATGTGAACAATAAGCCAATCATAGTTGATATAAACAGGTACAGATAAGTGGGGCATCTGCGTAAATTACATAAATATTTATGTGAAAACTCAATTCCTATTAAGTCTATTGCGTACAAGTACGCTTCAATTTTTGTAAATACTCAATAGATTTGATATTACATGTATACAAACAAAAATAGATAAAATACCTGAGGTATATTGAGAGTTTCTATTTCAGCACCTGGACTTGGCAACTTGCAGTCTTTCTTATCATTTCTCATATAACAGATCAAATATAAATAACAAACAAGTAAACCAACATTTAAACTTTAATATATTTTTACTATTAATGGAAAATGGCAAAATACCCAATTGAGTTGGATTGAGGTGGGTACAGTCTATTAGGTTACTCAAAGGAGCATTAGGATACCCAATTAAGATGAACACAAGCGAGTACATAACCCAATATGGCAAAAAGTTATATGTAGCTCTGTATAAATGTATAGACATGGGTTTTTTTATAGCCTTTAGTGTATCTACCAGCAAATTACAGTGCTTCTTTCAGATTGCTGGGCATTGTAATATTGATCTGAACTTGTATCATTACAACTTTAAAATACGTTTAAAGCCTAATATATCGTGTTTTGCTAACTTTTTACAATTTGTTCTCTTTTACAATTGTTGTTCACAATATTGTAAGTTATTACAGTCACATTAGAATATCGACATATACCAGTTAAATTGTTTAATGAATTGAGTCAAAAGTTGCCAAATCTAGTTTAAGATGATTCGTTGTTGAAACATAAGAAATATAAGTGCAAGATCTGTACTACATGGTATTTGCATAAAAAGTAAGGAATGCAGAACACATTCCGTATTTAAACACATTCTGTATTTGCACATAATATGTTTATATTACATTTGAGGCAAAAAGTGGGCAGAAAGGTTTTCTAGCATATATGATATTTCCATCATTTCAAAAGGATGATGTGTGTTAACTTCCTGTGCCAAGTGATAACAATGTGATTTCAGTGATAACGCCTTCAAATTTGAAATCAAATGTGCCAATAAGGAGTTAATTCCTTTTAGCAGTTAACGCAACATTTGCCATCCATTTCACATGACAGTTGAACCTACAAGCACCCACTAATATGCTGGCAGCACAGAAAGTTGTGTGTGTCTATAAATTCAGTATATTCATGGCCCAAACTACCCTTCAAGGCTAAATATTGATATGAATGAATGATGTTAAAGTCAAGTTTCCCACCTTTCATTTTTTCTCTGGACACTGTTTCTGTTCAATTAATCTTCATATAACAAATATTTAAATAGTGAGTTCATTCATTACAAAACCTACAATCACCCAACTAATTTGAAGGTATTTTCGTCAGGGCTCCAGATAATTGTTCAATATCAGGAGTACGTACTCCTTATTTTTCAATATAGTAGTACTGGAAAACCTGAGTACATTTAGAGAACTGAATGGAATTTAATGGAGTGTGACTACAACAAGACAAACGAGTTGTACTAGTAAGCTGTTTGTTTGTTATTCGTACATCAATTTGATTACTTGACTGTTTACAAGTCGTCGAGGCACAGTCTTGTTTCTGAAAGAAACTTGTAATTTGTTTCTGTGCTGCCTGTTTAGATACAACTTTGACCAATCAAATTTAACCGAGATGATTCGCTGCGATGCACGGCTTCCGTAGCAACTGGGATTCCCAAAACACGACAAGGGAAACCCCAATGTGTTGCTGTCAGTATCACATAAAGATGGACACTACTTGAAATCAGATTGATATGTTTAAGATAAATACATCTGTAAATGATTCTAAGACCCATATTGCTGTGGTGCATATCTCCTACATTTTCGAAATTATTTCCTACTGTATCATGCATATTTTTATCTGTACATCCGCTGATACGGTCCTTATCTGGAGCCCTGCTAAATGTAGTGTTGAGTGCAGACCTGTTGATATATTCACCATTTGGGGTTATTAGGCTCCTGTAACAACTGGATACTTAGCAGGGCTCGATTTAGTGCTTTGTTACTTGCACTGGTGCAACCAAAATTTACAAAGTGCAATCTAGATATTTGTCTGACTTGCAACAGGTGCAAATCAATTTTGGAGAAATAAATCAACAATAAATCTAACATTATAAGCATAATTAAGTCACTACATTTTATTTCTAAAATTTGAATAACTCAGTAGCATATTTCTTTCATTACATATTGCAATAAAAGCAGTGAAGCTGGAATTTGGCTGGTTCAACTAGGTTTGGCTATCGTAGGTTGCACCTAGTGCAAGTAGGTTAACATCTTTCAAATCGAGCCCTGCTTAGAATTAGATACAGTCTCATGTTTTAATTTCCATGTCACCAGTTTGTATGAAGTTAGTCTACACTAAACTAAACAGAGGAACAAGTGGTGTAGTTGCCTTAGGTGCCCTCTGTTCTGCTGGGCAGGAACTGATATTCTGGGTTCAGATTGTCAGTATTATGTTGCTGACACCATGTCAGTGTTGTAGGTTTCACTAAAGTGGTTTACATGAAACAACTGCATCACTATAGGCTTGCCTCCCACATCCCACAATACTGATATACCGTGTTGTAGGTTAGGGTAAAACCACGAGAGTTGATTTGAGTTGAGTTGGGTTTTGCGTCACATCAGCATTATTCCAGCCATATAGTGACGAGAACTCGTCTGCATTAATAAACATTGTAAGTACAGAGTCTAAATGGGTTTTATTTCAAAAAATATATATTCATTACATTGTCATTTAAGAACAGAAAAAGTCATAGCACTAAATTTAAAAGCAGGCAATTTCTTAGTCACATTACACAGTTACAATGTATGATACAGATCAGCTTCCCTCAGGTAGTTCACTATCAGATGAGCACTCACGCGGGAGAACAGATCTTTTAGGTTTGTGGCATCATAATGTGAGTCCCTTGCAGACGATAAGTCCACACAGTCAAGCAGAATATGCTTGATGGTGAAAACCTCATCGCAAGAGACACACCTGTGGGGTCCATCCCAATCCGTTTTCAGCAGATAGTCATGTGTAAACCGACTGTGGCCAATACGACATTGTCGTAAAATTACCACATCACGTCTTGACTGACAACCCAAATACTAGTGATGGTGTATGTGCATAGAGCTTAGGTCACAAATCAGTTGAAGTTTAGCAACATTGGGTGTGAAGTCTTTGGATGGGTGACCGTGTTTGGCCGCTTGACTCCTGAGAGTGTCTAGGACTTCAGTCCTGCCCCACAACGAAGCACATGAGACATGTGGTCTCACCTTAGGCAAGTGAGTGTGTTCAAAATTGCCTCTGTTCACCCAGCAGAAAATGGGTACCCGGTGGGATATGTCATGTATCCATTAATCTTCCAGCACTTCACAGGCAGTTTGGGTTATCCGTGGGTAATAATAATTAGATTGATTGGGTGCTTTGAGCATGCATTGTGCATGGAGAAATGTGCATGATAAATGGACTATTATTAATTAATTACTTTTAACATGTTACACTCAATCTTATCTTTCAGGATGTCACAGGTAGTAAGGCAAGTCTCATCACAAAGGAGAGTAAGGAAGGAACACCACGGAAGAAGGGGAAGAAGAAGAAAGTGGTGAAGAAGAAGACGGAGGAAGATGAGTATGCTGACAGTGGGCTTGCAGCAGATCTTACAAGTATTGAGGAAGACATAATTAAAGATGAAGACCAGAAAGAAGACATCGAGTTACCACAGACAACCAATGTGGGAGTTTTACGGAGTCAGCCAACACAGAAAATATATGTGGAAACAATAGGTAATAATTACTGTCTTGAAGGCGTGTATGTTTGTAACAGTGCACTGTCTCTTCGGGATACAAGGGTTGAACTGGTTCCCAGTACCCTACAGTTATTCTATGAGGTGACTTCAGTTGGTCCAACACAGTGCCTCTGTTCATCGCTTGTTATCATACCATATGGTTCCTAGTAGTGGATAAGGCAGCCCTTGTTAGCTATAGGTACATTTAGTTGAGCAGTGGATATGGTATGTATAAGCTGTAGGGTGAACCAAGATGTCCAAACTGATGCGCCACAATGCCTTTTTATGATGCACATAAACCATCCTCGTGATTCATGACGATACAAATTTTTTCAACTATCTCTATGAAATATTAATAAAGATAAACATTCATGAATCGCTGACATTATGAATTCACACAAGAAATTTGTGATTTTGGCTTCTCTGTTGCTATAACAACTATTGATACATATTGTAAGGGCTACCGTTTCCGATAAAAGAGTACAGAAAGGATATGCCAGCCTTGAAATCAATCGCTCACATAATAAAGATTTCATATTCATTAACCATGACATAAATACCGTCTAATGCTCTCTACCGAACACCTGGCTGTCCTCCCCACTGTCGTGCAAATGAACAACTAGTGAACTAAATACTTGTCCAAGTGTTTCTAATGATAGATTGTGAATACAAAAACCCGACAGTAGGAATCCCTTTTGCCATGCAGCGATATCGCATCACAGATGCATGTTCCTGATTATGATCAGTCGGACCATCCTCGCGTCTTCAAGATACAAATACATGGATCATCGATCCGATTTTGTCCAGACAAACCACATCACCAACTTCAGGACGCATAAAATTACTTTTAACTATCTCTATGAAATATGGATATATGTGAGTTTGAAAGTCCTCAAGCCATTCCCCACCCTTAGGCTTCTCTGTGGTATATTGGGATACATATGGTCAACAGTGTATTTAGATATCTGTAGGGTGTTGTTACAGGCTAGTGTAGCAAGATAAGTGTGGTATCGTTGCACAAGTGTATAAGATCTGTGTAGGTGTTGTTTCAGGCTAGTGTATCAAGATAAGTGCGGTATTGTTGCACAAGTGTATAAGATCTGTGTAGGTGTTGTTACAGGCTAGTGTATCAATATATGTTTAAGGTATTGTTGCACAACCTAGTGTATCAAGATGTGTGTAAGGTATTGTTGCACAGGCTAGTGTATCAAGATATGTTTAAAGGTAAGCCCATTGTTGCACAACCTAGTGTATCAAGATATGTGTAAAGGTATTGTTGCACAACCTAGTGTATCAAGATCAGTATGTACAAGTGTATGAGGTGTGTAGGTATATATGATTGTTGCACAACCTAGTGTATCAAGATATATGTGTAAGGTGTTGTTGCACAACCTAGTGTATCAAGATGTGTGTAAGTATTGTTGCACAACCTAGTGTATCAAGATGTATGTGCAGGTATTGTTGCACAACCTAGTGTATCAAGATATGTGTAAGGTATTGTTGCACAACCTAGTGTATCAAGATAAGTTTAAAACCTAGTATTGTTGCACAACCCTAGTGTATCAAGATCTATGTAAGGTATTGTTGCAGGCCTAGTGTATCAAGATAATGTTTAAGTATTGTTGCACAAGCTAGTGTATCAATCAATATGTGTAAGGTATTGTTGCGTCAGGCTAGTGTATCAAGATAAGTAGCGTATTGTTGCACAACCTAGTGTATCAAGATATGAGTAGGTATTGTTGCACAACCTAGTGTATCAAGATATGAGTAAGGTATTGCAATTGCACAACCCTATGTGTATCAAGATGTATGTAAGGTATTGTTACAACCTAGTGTATCAATATATGTTTAAGGTATTGTTGCACAACCTAGTATATCAATATATGTGTAAGGTATTGTTGCACAACCTAGTGTATCAAGATATGAGTAGCGTATTGTTGCACAACCCTAGTGTATCAAGATATGTGTAAGGTATTGTTGCACAGCCTAGTGTATCAAGATATGAGTAAGGTATTGTTGCACAACCCTAGTGTATCAAGATGTGTGTAGGTGTTGTTGCACAACCTAGTGTATCAAGATAAGTTTTGGTATCGTTGCACAACCTAGTGTATCAATATATGTGTTAAGGTATTGGATGCACAACCTAGTGTATCAAGATATGAGTAAGGCATTGTTGCACAACCCTGAGTGTATCAAAATATGAGTAGGTGTTGTTGTATGTATCAAGATGTTGTTGCACAACCTAGTGTATCAAGATATGAGTAGCGTATTGTTGCACAACCTAGTGTATCAAGATATGAGTAAGGTATTGTTGCACAACCTGGTATCAGATAAGACAGGCTTTGCATTAAAGTGTATGTGAAGATGGTTGTTACAGCTTTTTGAAGTGCGTATAAGAGTGAGTAGGCATTGCTACAGCCTCAGCGCTAATGTATCAAGATATGAGTAAGGTATTGTTGCACAACCCTAGTGCATCAAGATATGGAGTAAAGCCTATTGTTGCACAACCCTAGTGTATCAAGATATGTAGCGTATGGTAGTGATCGCATGAAGACCGAGTTTGAATCCCTACGTGGGTACAATGTGTGAAGCCCATTTCTGGTGTTCCCGGCCGTGATGTTGCTGGAATATTGCTAAAAGCGGCGTAAAACCAAACTCAGTCAGTCAAAATATGTGTGAGAGATTGTTGCACAACCTAGTGTATCAAGATGTATGTAAGGTATTGTTGCACAACCTTGTGTATCAATATATGTTTAAGGTATTGTTGCACAGCCTAGTATATCAAGATATGAGTAAGGTATTGTTGCACAACCTAGTATATCAATATATGTTTGAGGTATTGTTGCGCAGCCTAGTGTATCAAGATATGAGTAAGGTATTGTTGCACAACCTAGTATATCAAGATATGAGTAAGGTATTGTTGCACAACCTAGTATATCAAGATATGAGTAAGGTATTGTTGCACAACCTAGTGTATCAAGATATGTTTAAGGTATTGTTGCACAACCTAGTGTATCAAGATGTATGTAAGGTATTGTTGCACAACCTAGTGTATCAAGATATGAGTAAGGTATTGTTGCACAACCTAGTGTATCAAGATGTGTGTAAGGTATTGTTGCACAAGCTAGTGTATCAAGATGTATGTAAGGTATTGTTGCACAACCTAGTGTATCAAGATGTAAGGTATTGTTGCACAACCTAGTGTATCAAGATGTATGTAAGGTATTGTTGCACAAGCTAGTGTATCAAGATGTATGTAAGGTATTGTTGCACAAGCTAGTGTATCAAGATGTATGTAAGGTATTGTTGCACAAGCTAGTGTATCAAGATGTATGTAAGGTATTGTTGCACAACCTAGTGTATCAAGATGTATGTAAGGTATTGTTGCACAACCTAGTGTATCAAGATGTATGTAAGGTATTGTTGCACAACCTAGTGTATCAAGATGTATGTAAGGTATTGTTGCACAACCTAGTGTATCAAGATGTATGTAAGGTATTGTTGCACAACCTAGTGTATCAAGATGTATGTAAGGTATTTTTGCACAACCTAGTGTATCAAGATGTAAGGTATTGTTGCACAACCTAGTGTATCAAGATGTATGTAAGGTATTGTTGCACAACCCTAGTGTATCAAGATGTATGTAAGGTATTGTTGCACAACCTAGTGTATCAAGATGTATGTAAGGTATTGTTGCACAACCTAGTGTATCAAGATGTATGTAAGGTATTGTTGCACAACCTAGTGTATCAAGATGTATGTAAGGTATTGTTGCACAACCTAGTGTATCAAGATGTATGTAAGGTATTGTTGCACAACCTAGTGTATCAAGATGTATGTAAGGTATTGTTGCACAACCTAGTGTATCAAGATGTATGTAAGGTATTGTTGCACAACCTAGTGTATCAAGATGTATGTAAGGTATTGTTGCACAACCTAGTGTATCAAGATGTATGTAAAGGTGTTGTTGCACAACCTAGTGTATCAAGATGTATGTAAGGTATTGTTGCACAACCTAGTGTATCAAGATGTATGTAAGGTATTGTTGCACAACCTAGTGTATCAAGATGTAAGGTATTTTTGCACAACCTAGTGTATCAAGATGTATGTAAGGTATTGTTGCACAACCTAGTGTATCAAGATGTATGTAAGGTATTGTTGCACAACCTAGTGTATCAAGATGTATGTAAGGTATTGTTGCACAACCTAGTGTATCAAGATGTATGTAAGGTATTGTTGCACAACCTAGTGTATCAAGATGTATGTAAGGTATTGTTGCACAACCCTAGTGTATCAAGATGTATGTAAGGTATTGTTGCACAACCTAGTGTATCAAGATGTATGTAAGGTATTGTTGCACAACCTAGTGTATCAAGATGTATGTAAGGTATTGTTGCACAACCTAGTGTATCAAGATGTATGTAAGGTATTGTTGCACAACCTAGTGTATCAAGATGTATGTAAGGTATTGTTGCACACCTATTACACTGTTACCTTGAGTTTCTTCATCTGATGTACAACCGCAGAAACTGGTTAATGCTGCTAGTAAAACGATCTTTATCTTGACTTTATGAATGTTTCCATTATCTGTGTAGGTGGTTTCAAGAAAGAAAACAAAACAAAACTGGCCAAAAGACTTGCTGCTGAAGAAGCTGAGAAGAAGGTTGAATCTGAAGCCTCAAGAAAGACCACAATAGAACTAGCCGCTGACCACATACCGTATCATGAAGACAGTCACACTGTTTATACATGGACTGACTGCCGGGCTGGCACTGTGGCAGATTATCATTGTGTATATACTCAGTTCCTTCGGCAACACAGACTTCCTGGAACACTACCAGTCCCTGTCACTTCCCGTCCAGTGCTGTGCCTACCTCCTGCTGGCCCTGTGTGTCGTATCTACCTGTGACAGGTGAGTACAGGCGGGATTCAATAACTTTACTTATCTTACCTCACACATAAATGTTGTTTTCTGATTGGCTGAGCCAATCCGTGTACCCTCTTATGAGCCAGTAACATTTTCTATGTTACCATTGGTTTCCCACTGGAAATGCCGAACTGTGGGAATTCGTTTGGTACTTCATGTTAGTAGTGTTTGGGCTGTTGCCTAACTCCGGTACTCCTTAATATGATCCAATACCCGTGCTTCAAACAGTTCAAAATTAACATTGAGGTGTTCGGTAAGATAAATACGTTGTTCACTGGTCCCTCGGGGTTCATTGGTTGATGTACCCTCGATGTTTGTTTATGTTCCCTGAGCCCATCAACCCATGTCCCCTTCGTGACCAGTGAACAACTTATATTGTACTGTAGCAGGGTTGATGTATTTGTACGACCTCTTTAGATTATAGTGGATTGCAGGGCTCCAGATAATTTTTCAACATCAGGAGTACGTACACCCTATTTGTTCTATATAGGAGTACTGGAAAACCTTAAGTGTACATTTAGACTACTGAATGGAAATTAATGGACTATCAGTAATGTTGTGTTTCATTTCATATATGCACCACAATATTGCTACCCTTGTGTAAGCAGGTCAATAAACAATAAAACAATACTTTTCAGATAAAATATGCATGGCTGTAAATGATTCTAAGACCGTGTACTGGCACCATTGCTGTGATGCGTATCTGCTTCGCTTTCTAAATTATTTCCTACTGTATTGTGCATATTTTTTATCCGACACGCATACACCGATAAGAGTATTTATATCTGGAGCCCTACGCTGATTGGATAATGCTTTATTTGAGAAGAGATGAGAAGATAAGTAGTTCCATGGAACATATTGCCTCATCTAACCATGCTGAATGTCTGCCTTACACATGTACACTTGTAGTGAAATGGTTAAAGCGTTCACTCGTCACGCCGAAGATCCAGATTCGATTCCCCACATGGGTACAATATGTGAAGCCCATTTCTGATGTCTTTGATATTGCTGGAATATTGCTAAAACAGTGTAAAACTTAACTCACTCACTCTTGAGGCACAGATCTCAAAACTAGCGTTAGTCTGGACTAATACAAGCAGCTGCACACTTCATGCACATTGCTATGCAAATGTAATAAGCCTGAACACACTGATAACCCAACATCTCACACAACCATCGGTTACCCCTGAAGATACGGGTTAGAATTGATCTTCTGTAACCCATGCTTGTCGTAAGAGACAACTAACAAAATCAGGTGGTCAGGCTCGCTGACTTGGTTGACACATGTCATCGTATCCCAATTGCGTAGACCGATGCTCATGCTGTTGATCACTGGATTGTTTGGTCCAGACTCGATTATTTACAGACCGCCGCCATAAAGCTGGAATATCGCTGAGTGCGGCGTAAAACTAAACTTACTCACCCAGTACCATCAGTTGTCACAAACAATGCCTCCATAGAAGCATTCATAAAATCAAGGCTAGTATCATTTTTACTGGCAGTATTCCCCAGTTTAGGTCAGCAGTATCAGAATTATGACTTTAAAATGTTGTTTATCTCCCTTTTATATACTTTTCCAGATTTGATATCGGTTACATCACAAGGAGGTTTCTGCTAAGAGCATTCACCCTACAGAACGGTGCTGTCTCCATCATCTTCTACCTCACTGCCGTCATCCTCAGCGTCAGCATCGTCTCCACCGAGGACAAGATACACCTTCACAACAAGAACCCTGACCTCTGGGCTGATGCTGATGTGAGTAGACCGATGTCAATGAGCGCCAAGCTGAGGGAGGGGAGGTGGGGGTAGCCTTGTCATCAGAAGTGTTGGTTCCTCACACCAAAGACCCAGGTTCTTCACATGTTTACAATGTGGGAAGCTCATTTCTGGTGTCCTCTGCCATGATATTACTAGAATACTGCTAAAAGAGGCGTAAAACTAAACTAACTCACTCACTCACTCACTCACTCACTCACTCACTCACTCACTCACTCACTCACTCCAAACTGAGGAAGCAGCTGATAATTACACTGTTCATCATATTAAGCAGTATGGTTAAATTAGATATATTCAGACTGATATACAACAGTTGTTGTGGCACAGGAATAAGACTTGTATGAAATTCAGACTAGCTGTCATTCTAACATCGGTAACTGACAACCATTGCCCATTACTCTCCACTTGCCTACAAGTTGAGATAAAAAATGAGCAGTGCCCATATAAAATCTTATGAAGCAAGCTTCATCCCAATGTGATGGAGAGGGACCAGTGGCAGGAGATTTGTTACACATGGCTTTTACAAAACCTGCATGAAATGTGTAAGACAAAGGCTATTTGATTGGCTGCTGTATTCTGAACTTTGGTACTATTTCATTACCATGGACAGTGCTTTTGACATAATGTCCTAGAAATATCTCATGGTTAGGGTGATATGGTTCAGCTGTAAAAAGGACGCTCTTTACAACAATCACAAATAATATCATCATAATCATGATGATTGGGTGCAATTTAGCGTATTTGAGGTCTGATGTTTGTTTACATGGGAACAGACTAATGGCCTTGAAATGGAATATGAAAATAAGACTAAGTGAGTGAGCATGGTTTTACGCCGCTTTATCACTATTCCAGCAATATCGTGTCAGGGGCTACCAGAAATGGGCTTCACACATTGTACCCATGTGGGGAATCGAACCCGGGTCTTCGGCGTGACGGGCGAATGCTTTAACCACTGGGCTACCCCAGCGCCCCCTGAAAATAAGAAAGAAAGTCAGCAGGTCCTTGTCATAACCCAAGTGTTGCTTGTCAGCATAGTTAGAGATTCACATACTACAGAAGCAAACCTCACTCAGCCCTAAACCCCTAATTTTAAACTCTTTGTGATGATTTGATGTGTCTGTGTCGGGTATAGTGGTCTCTGTGTAATAAGTTCATAGATAGAATCAGGGACATTTTGTCACACGGTCCATAAGCATGATAAGTATTTTGATAGTGAATTTCAAAATGGAGATAGGCTCCCTTGAATTAACTGAGCACGCATTTGAAATTATTTACGGGGTTGTTTTCTTGTTCAAAAGGTCCCTAGGATGGTAATCTACCTTCAGTTGCTGGTGAACAATAGCCCGTTTTTTATATTGTATTGTCTGTACTATTTGTCTGATGTTAAAAGGTAGTTGCTAGTTTTAATTCTCTGACTGTGATAGTCTAGTTGTTTTACTGTCCTTCATCAACAGGCTTTTATAATTTGATTGCATTTATTGTTAATTTATAACTTTTTAAGTCACGATGTGGCTGAAATATTGCCGATGTGACTATAAATTTTAACTCACTCACTCTTGTTCAAAAGCCTGAAGTAAACAAGTTGCACAGAGTAGCAGGTTAAAGGCAGTATGCCAGTTATATCTTGTCAGTTTGTGTATTTAGCCATCAATCTGATCAAAGTCCACACTTTGGCACAAGAAAGTGATGTCATTCAATATATTCAGGCTTATTGACAGGTCACTGTCTTATGTTTAAAACAATATGTGAAACTTTGTAAATGTTCAGAAAACCTAGGTTAATCGTGAACGTGAAGGGCATGTAACTCACTTGGTTAAGAGTCAAAAGTTTTTTTGTTTCCTGGTACCAGCTTTCTATAATTGGACCTTAACCATCATAGGAAACAGAGATTTGACTTATTTTATACCAAAGTTTCCAATATTGATGGCATGTATGCTCAAACTCATTGTCATGGCATGTGAAAAAATTGGGAAAGCAGAAATACAATTGACTGTTTACATATGCAAATAACGTCAACAAGTTCCCCGCTCTAGTAACAGTGATTTATTTCAGTGGAATGTCAGTCTAATCATAGGTGTGGTAAAGTATTCATCTTTTCATAAAGTTCTGGAACAGGTTGAAACTGGTTTCACTCCTATTGTCACTGCATCTTGCACGAATCAAAACTTACTTTGTCAAGAGTAATCCTGCGACAACTATAAGGTCATCTGCATATTTACCGTCCTAAAACTATAACCAGAAGTGATGAATTGCGCAACTTCACACAGCAGCTTACTGTATGGCATACTTTAACTTTAAGGCTAATTATCTTCATTTGTTTGGGGACCACGATTACCTCTGCTTTGGTGAAGTGATGTTTTGTCAAGCATTAACTGGCTATAGTTATTCGTGTTCTATAACCACCTCCGTGGTGTAGTGGGTAGAGCGTCCACCTGGGGGAGCGGAAGGTCGCGGGTTCAATCCCCGACCACGTCATACCAAACGACGTTAAAATATGGTACTTGTTGGTCCCTGCCTGGCGCTCGGCATTAATGGGTACAACAAGGACTGGTCGGCTCGGAGTCAGTATAATGTGTCCAAGTGGGGTATTCATGCTTAACTGTGGCATGCTATCTCAGTTAGCTAGCACTTTAAAACCAGCTTAAGTCTGGGCTAATACAAGCAGCTACACATACACAAGCATGCACGTCGTCATATGAGCGAAATATTCTTAAGTACGACATTAAACCCCATTTCACCTCACCTCCATATGCCCAGTCAAGCTGATGGTTATAATGTTAGACAAGCATCAAGAATAAGCTCCAGCTAAAGACAGCAATAAGTGATCAGAAAAGGCTATGAATGACATTTATTGTGATTAAGAAGTCAGTAAAGGGATAAAGAATTAAATCATTTCTATTTTAGACTTGATTTGTCAGTCTATAAACATCTAAATCTGCCAACCTGAAATTAGTTTACTACCTGCCTTAATCTTTATCATGTTCAAGTGACTAGTTAGAGAATAGTTATAAAGGTGTTAAAGACAGTTAAAAGTGTCTTGGTGTGATGCTGTTGAATAAATATTTATGAGCACTCCCATTACTGAGGTATCAAATCCTACAAAAGGGATCCCGAATGGTCTACTAGTTCCTCATTGGGATATTTCTAGTGTGATGTCATTTGGAAAGGTCAATTACAGCCAGTGGATCAAAAGAGATGATTTATCTACCAAGGTCTAAATCTGTGTGGCCAATAAACATGTACTTAGAGATCTTCTGAATAGCTTTAGCAGCAATAAACATGCAAATTTCAGGAGTAAACAATCTATTCTCACCTCAATATTTAAACTGTGGAGAAATGGAAGATTATTTGAATTTGCTGATTTGTCGAGATGAAATAGAAAGGTTTTAATAAACGCCAACTTATGTTACCAGTAAACTTGATAACCAAACTTTTCCACATATTTAACGTGTGTAACAGTGTCAAGGAAATAGATTAATTCTTTGCAATGAAAATAGAATGTTTATTATAATCCAGCAAGCCAACTGCTATTTGTACGCTTGTAATTGCTACCAGAATAAGATGTGGGTTGTGTGTTTGTATTGATTGGGGTTAACAAGCTGGATTACAGGTGATAAAAAGGTCATTGACAGAGGCTGTGTGCAGCTGTCAATCACTCAGCAGGGGGAGCTAATTCATGTCGGAGGCAGCATCAACATGGACGTGATGCAGTAAAGAGAGGGGGCGTCGGGGTAGCCTAGTGGTTAAAGTGTTCGCTCGTCACATCAAGGACCCATGTTCGATTCCCCACATGGGTACAATGCGTGAAGTCCATTTCTGGTGTCCCCCGCTGTGATATTGCTGGAATATTGCTAAAAGTGGCAAAAACTCAACCAGGGTTTTACATGACACATGATTCCTACGTATTTGACTCAACAATTATGTAAACGACTCTCAAAATGCTATCATACGAGTCAAGCTTGACTCAAGTTTTATGGGTGGCCCTCACAATTCAGTTCAATAAAATTGATTTGGGAAGCAAAAAATGATTTTGTTTGATGATCATGATTATAGTTTGACTTTTACAGAGCTGTCAGATTGTTCCAGAGAACTCAGAGGAGACAGTAATCCTGGCTGTTTGAATCGAACAATGCTGTAGTTTCATTTGGTGGTGTGACATACACAGTTACATACTGAGAATGATTAACACAAGGAAATGTTAACATTTTTATGACTCCCAAATATTGAAAATGACTCCCAAAAATAAATATTGTGAGTCACCATGACTCCCATTTTAAAAGTCTGTGTAAAACCCTGCTCAACTCACTCAGTATAGAGAGGAAAGGGATGGAATAAGGGAGTTGTTATGATGGATGCTCTTGACTGAACTGTTAGCCACAGTCATTGTGTTACGGCCATTTGGATTCTATGCTTGAAGATGTAATATATATATTGAGGTTAAGTTTTTTAGCAACTGGAGATGACAATAGGTAAAAACTCTTATCCATAAATTTTAAGTCCATGTTTGTACCAAAGCATATTGTATATCACCCATGAAGATTCAAGCTATAATTGGGTGGTCAGGCTTGCTGACAACTTCATGCCCATTTACACAGATCGATGCTCCCGAAGTCAGTCACTGGATTATCTGGTCTTGACTGATTATTTACAGACCACAACCATGCAGCTGTAATATTGCTTAGCATGGCATTAACGAAAATGCAAAGCAAGTATATCAGAATTGGAATTAAAACCACAGGCAAGAGTAATGTCCCTTGTTCGTAGTTAATCCCAGTCTGACTGTCCACTGCACTGCAGGAGATTCCTGTGATAGCCATTGATTATTTCAAGCCTTAATGCCTCTACATGTGTGTTGTGTTCCAGAAGACGGAGTCCGAGCTGTCACTGTGGAGGAGGATCAACACAGCCAGAGGGGTGTTTGCCATCTTGGGGTGGCTGGTGCTCTCAATAACCCCAAATGCTGACCGGCTCAGCCACAATCTCAGGGAAGGGGATGACGACGAACTCCTGGGGAAGGAGCAGGCAGAGACAGGGGTGTCCGCAGCCTAGGGGTGGGGAAACATGAAGAACAGCTGAGGATTTGACAGGCAAAGAAACAGTCACATGGCCTAGACTTCAGGAGTGAGGGAGGGACGAAAAGGAGGTCTCGGCAGAAGGCAAGAGTATCTACAGTGGCTTATGACAAGGATACACCTTCACCTGTGACATTTACTTGCCTGAATAGTGATAAACATAATAGACAGTGTCAGCCTCACTCTCTTGATGTCCAGGGCGATGGGGTAGCCTAATGGTTAAAGCGTCCACTCATTATGCCGATCAATTGTGTAGATCGATGTTCAAGCTGTTGATCCCTGGAGTATCTGGTCCAGACTCGATTATTTACAGACCGCCGCCATATAGCTGGAATATTGCTGAGTGCGGTGTAAAGCTAAACTCACTCACTCACTCATGCCGAAGACCTGGGTTCGATACAATGTGTGAAGCCCATTTCTGGTGTCTCCTGTCGTGATGTTGCTGGAATATTGCTAACAGCTGGTATCTTAAAAAAGAGATGTGGAACCCTTATAACTCACTGCACACACTCTTGATATCCAAATTAAGAACTGTTTGGTCCTATCACTAGTATCAGTGTACTTGGTATCTGGCCACCCATAAGAGGGTGGGATCCCTTATATGAGGAGACCCACAATCATGCCTAAATTTGATTAGCCATTTGCCTCTCTCATTATACAACATTACCAAGGTTAGCAGGCTAATGACAAGTTGTGTCTCTGCTTATAAAAAACTTGTGGAAATCAAGTAGTCATCACCAGAGGTCAAGTCATGTTTATTTCATTATTCAGGCCACATTGCCAATAGTAGAGTTGTAAGATAAAATGAGTTTCAGTCACATGTTGAGAATGTACCATTTGTGTCTATCTCTTGTTAAATAATTAACATAAGTATGTAGCTATCAAGCATAGTACACTAATATCACAGCTAATTCTGCCTTAGTACTCATGGAAATAGAAGTTAAATGTTTTTTGGCATTTATTTCGTAGTTTTGAACATAACTAAAGATTGACTGCTACACATTTGTGACTACCAAAATGTGACTATCATTTTTCCCAACTTTAGTTTTTAACACTTTTTGTAAAATCGTCCGAAATAGATGAGTTTACAGGAGAGCAAATCGTGTCATTTTTACCCCTTGACTTTCATCAAAGTCAAAATGTGCGTTTCTGATGCAAGCTATAGTATGCAAGTGAGATGTAATCTTCATGGGTTCACTTTAATAATATTTTTTTATGAAAAATATACCATTCATCCTTTATTTCTTTGATCCTAATTGATATACAAAATAATTGATTTAGGGATTTTCTCATTACATTTTTCATGCCTGTACTCTTGTCGAGAGGTTACTATTTCTACTAGTTCATTCATAGCTTTGATTGTTAATTGCACAATCGCTATGGCAACGTGCAAATTCATCTTTCCATCTCAACAGTGCTGCAGATAGTTGTCACCACCCATTGTTGATTGTTACGTAAGTTATAACATGTTCTAAATTTGTTGATAATATGCCAAATTTTGTTATTTTTACCTGTAAAATGGTATTATGGATGATGATTAGAGTACCAAATTAAAATGCCTATTTGGGGGGAAATTTTTTTATTTTGATATTTATTAAAACTACCTATTTTAATGCAGTTATAAACAAATAAACACCCAAAACTTTTTTATTTCTATTTCTGTAAGTACTTTACTTCTCAAGTGAATATATTTCTTGCATGCAAAAGAGTCATCTTATTCATCTTCTACTAAATGAAGGTCTCGTCTTGACATACAGATGCTCTGTAAGGTATATTTAACGTTTTTACGAATAATGTTGACTCAAAAGTTGTGAACAGATATTTGAAATTTACACATTGCTCCAATTAATCATTTTTCTGTGAGTACAGTGGTGGGTTGCAGAAAAGATGTTATTTGAGCATAATGCCCTAAAAAAAGGGTAGACAACTCCACACTGGGGTACCATCTGACCTCAAGTAAAGGAGAAAATATGTCATATGTTATATGTTTGAAAATGTGTGCTTGTTTGGGATCCATTAGAACAGTATTGGCTTGAAGCAACGTTCTGAAGCCTGGTTTGACAAAATACCCCCTTTGCTTTGGTTTCGTAGTTTAGTTGTTTCGGTTTTACTTTGGAGATCAAATAATCGTTTCCTTTTGTTCATTTCAAATTGGTTACACCTGATATATGTATAGCCATGGGTTGGTGAGTTAGGCCACAAGGGATGCTCATAGATTATAACTTACAATGTCTGTGTGGAATATCTCTCGATAGTGGTAGGATGCCTGGTGATAATTAAAGTCTTGATGGATGCTGTGCTTAAGCCCATTTCGGGTGTTCCACCTCATGTTGTTCCTGGAATAAATCCTACCTCACTCCCTCACTCACTCAGTGAAGTGACTTTATATTGATGTAGGGAGCGGTGGGGTAGCCTAGTGGTTAAGACGTTTGCTCATAAGGCCACAGACCCGGTTCGATTCCCCCACATAGGTACAATGTGTGAAGCCGATTTCTGCTGTCCCTGACTTGATATTGCTGGAATATTGCTAAAAGCGGCATGAAATTAAACTCACTCACTCACTCTATTGATGTATACCACTGTAGGGTGGATGATTGACCCAACCCTTCTCTGTGGCTGTTGGTCACAGGGTCATCTAGTGGAGTTGAGAATATTTAGAACCTTTCTCCTTTTGGACCAGAATGCAAGGTTTTATATTTGGGTCACAGAGGCCCAGATAAGCTGCGTATCCGGGTAAAGTACGCATAGAATTACGCATTGAAAAATAATTGCTGCGTACCAATTACGCATTTAAAATGTTAGATACGCAAAAAGTTTAAAACACGTACGGAATATATTTATAAAAATCGCTAGCGTAATGAAAAAGACATCGATTGCTATCAAGTTGTACTGTTAGTATAGGACAAGTGTTGTAATGTCAGTATAGAATGAGTGATTTTTTAGGAAATAATGTCCATTATATTTAAGTTGGTTTTGATTAGGTATGACATAAGGCAGAACATACCTGCTTAGTAAACTTGCTCAATGACATAATACTTAGGTGAGTAAAATGACTGAAATACGCACATATTTTAAAGCAGTGGGTAACGGAAAATGAAATACCCACTCAACATTCATAATACCCACTCCAAAAAAATACAGTGGGTACAGTACCCACATGAGCTAAATCTTATCTGGAGCTCTGGGTCAGATGTAGAGAATGAGGGTTTCTTGAGGGACGCACAATATAAGTCATTGTACCTACAGCCACCAAGAACCAAGAATTGATCTTCAGTAACCCATGCTTGTTGTAAGAGGCTACAAACGGGATCTGGTGGTCAGACTCGCTGCCTTGGTTGACACATGTCATCGTATCCCAATTGCATAGATTGATGCTCATGGTGTTGATCACTGGATTGTCTGGTCCAGACTTATTTACAGACCGCCGCCATATAGCTGGAATATGGCTGAGTGTGGCGTAAATCTAAACTCACTCACTCACTCACTACAGCCCACGTGACCTGATTCAGGCTAGGCTCTGAAGTAACAATCTGAACCTACATTACACTTAACCATTTCATTACTTTACAGGACCCCATATTGCCTGCAATTCCTTAAAGTTCTTCCTTTTGACCCCCACTTTAGTAATACAATGTAAACCCCAGGATGGGGATTCTGACAGGCAAGTTATGGAGGTTAAGGCTCCCTGAGTTGTCACCCCTACAGTTCCCTTGTCGGATCTTCAGGGGTTTTTATAGTCTTGACTTACCATATGTAATGTGTAGACCTGCAGAGTAAAGTGTTAGGCCAAACGGTCAATCTGGCTACCTAATGGATTATTTATTTACAAGTTTATTATACAAACACATTTCATGAATATTACATTTCTTCATCAGCGTGTATAACCGAATCCACATCTGTTATGTTATGCTCTAATTTCATGAAGTGATACACCTGTTTTGGACTAATTCCACCACATCTGTTCATTGTTGTTAATAATTCGTTGCATGTAGATGACTATTTATGTACATAAGGGTACAGATTGAATAACAAGATATGTGAGGATGTGTGGATGTGTTTCACTGTTTATTCCAACCATGTATATACATTAGAGAGAAAAATCAACATATATAAAATCAACATTATTACATACAAAATGTATAGATATCTATCGTTTCCGTCCACTGCGTCTAGGAGTTTTTGCGTTGTGTGTGTGTGTGAATTCATGTCACCGATGTTGCGAAACGTATTATTTAGGGAGCATTTCAAAAGTTTATCAGATCAGTTGTGGCAAACCAAATAAGGAACAGGAAGAAAACTGTAAGTATGAAAATATTGAAATCCTGTTATACACATACTTTGAGAGCCTGTAGTACATCAGGCATATCGGATAATTTGACTGCTTGTCAAAGATTTTTATTCGACATCGAACTTTTGAACTGCGCCCTTAGCCTATGTCACTGGTAACAAATTGAAAGACAACGACCCTGTGAAATAGACGCTGTCACGTTTTGCGCATGCACAACGTGTACCTGTCAACACCGCCGGGCATGCCATCGCGATGGATTGGCAGCAGGTGAACACCTGTTGTTTTGTAATTTACAACATTACGCTATTCTTTAGCTGCATATACTGTAAATTTAATTTAAATTACAGTGCAAATGTGTTTCTATGTACGATATGTATATTTCGTATTTATTTTATGAATAAATCGATATCAAGGTTTGGTGAGATGTCATGTACGTATTTCGCCTGGAATGACGACCTTAGGTGTAATTGTTATGAATGTTGTTTTATCTCAGAAAACGTTTTGAGACAGACATGTCGGGGATCGTGGTTGAGACAATGTTGAAATTATATTCGAAAATATTATTATGGACGGTATACCAAGTATACGTATATAATACGTATCGCATCGATGTTCAATTCCCAATCACCCCTTCCCTAACATGGTACTGTACGGTTCATTTTGAAGTTTGTACGCTGTAAATTCGTTTCAAAAGTGTTTGCATGATAATTTTCAGAATGTACTGCCCCGGAGTATATTTTCTGATTTTTTTTACCTCACCCAAAAGACAAAGACAGTTTTATAAAGAAGAACGATAAAAAAAGGAAGCAGTGTTACTTTGATGTCCAAGATATTTTTATGGATTAAACTTCTTTTTAATTTCTCTCACGACGTTTCGAGACCATTACAGGTCCCTTCATCAGTTAACTGGAATGGTTTCGAAACGTCGTGAGAGAAATTAAAAAGAAGTTTAATCCATAAAAATATCTTGGACATCAATGTACAACTTCTAAATGCCACTGAAAGACATCAGTGTTACTTTGTTACGATATTTGCAGTACTCAGTATGGCACATATATTTCTATATCTAGTAAGAGGTGTACGTCAATGCTCAGTCTTTTCTTCCTCTTTGTTATCCGGTTCGTCCACCGACTCGTTCGTCTTGTCCATTGGTGCCATGTCGAGCTCCTGGGCCTGCGACGCCAGGTGCTCTATCTGATGTCGTCTCACTCTCAGGCCTAACACCAGGAAGGTGAGTGCAGCTGCACTGAACACACCCGCTGCCATGTAGAACACCACGTTGTACGACTTGGTCCTGTCGAAGATGTATCCTGGAACAGAAGGGTAGAACCTTGGCACCGTTTCACAGGGCGAGCATGGTGTTACGACTGTCGTAAATCCATGTCGAAGTATGCGAGTAACAATCACTTTAGCACTAAGACCTCTTATAGGAAGGCGGTCCTGGAGCTAAGTACGGCAACTAAAAAACCAGTTCCGTCACAACCCACGCGTTTATGATGGAACGATTGACTAAAGGTTTGCACGGTCAATGCCAAGTTCCTAGAAGCGGTCGAAGCGCTACGACTGTCGTAAGTCTCACGTATATGAGTTACAATCGCTTTGGTGATCAGTTACTTGGTGGAATGCGCGTCTGTGTTTGTAGTTTAACGCCACACTCAGCAATATTCCAGCTGTATGGCGGTAGCCTGTAAAAAGTCTAGTCTGGACCAGACAGTCCTGAGCTTATCATGAGCATCGATCTATGCACTTGGGATACAATGACGTGTGAACCAAGTGAGCGTGCCTGACCACCCGATCAGTCGCCTCTTACGACAAGCATGGACCGTTGAAGACCAATTCTAACCCGGATTTACATTGGTCTGGATCTTTATGTCCCAACAGAATCTTGCTCCACCCTGTACTCAAGGACACCGTGTTTGTACTTAGCAAACATTTTGTCGGTTTGAAAGAGTGTATCCGAATGAAACAGCTTTACAATACGTACATATGCTACTCAATTTTGCCAAGGATCAGATTGCCATGATGTAAAAATCCATTCATCAAATAAAGATGGAAATATCCTAGCACACAGAAACCCGACTTTTCGATCAGCTGATCAGTGACATGCAGGTTGTCGGCAGTGTCATACCTCATGGTGAAGAGGGGTTTCTCCTGATTACAATAATGCGTCATCACTTTTTTCTTCTGTCATACTCAGAAATGACCAGCCAGTGGGGTTAACATTTTTAGCCCGTGCGTAATCCTCTCTTCTCACTGATGCATTCGCATCTCACTGACCCGTCATCACTGACAGGCACGTTTGGACGTTTGGCTTATACTGACGATGACGTCAACTGGACAGACCAGAACTGGTCTGTATCTGTTTGTGAGACTGCATGCTAGTCTAGTCGGGCCGGACTTAATTTCTCGTGGGCGATCACGCACGACGTCATCGTGCCAGGGTTGTTGATGCCTATTTAGAGCACCCCTACAGGAACTCGGCAATGCTCTCACTGAGGAGTGAAACAATCTCTTCTTGGCAACCACCTTGGCATTTATTGGAAGCATTAGACGACTGTGTCGGGCTGTGATCCCATCACGTAGATTACATACCCGGCGTGATATTGCTGGATTAGTGCTAAAAGCTGCGTAAAACTAAACTCACTCACTCACTCACTCTAACGGAAGATCTGAGTGATAACTGTCCACATGCGTTTTGCATTGTGGGTACTTGACAACGGACTTTTGTTCTTACAAAATGTCTGCACACAATACTGTCTTTGTCTATTTCAACAGATGCACACAATTTGACGTAATTTCCAAGTGGTGACCCTTAGCAAACTGTGAGTAGTATATGATAAACGGCACGCAGCAAATAATTATTCAAAGAACTGATTGTTCAAAGATAACACAAAAGGTAAATTATTCTAATATGGAATGCAACATCCTGTCCACTACAACTGAATAAACACGAACGATAAATTATATGTTAATGTGAGTATCGTACGTCTCACGCACGAACAGTCCATGACACATGCCCACAACGGGCACCTAGCTAGGTACACAGCAATACACAACTAGGCCACTCCTGTCAGTACAAATATACTGGGACAAAACTGTGGTTGTATAGATGCATTAACTAAAAAATTAGAAATAATTATTACGATTGTATGAATAGTGACCATGAGTAATGAGCAACCAGTCCTGACCCAAAATGTCCCAGGGAAGTATAACATGATTATTATTTATATAGTGCCGAATTCCAGCTAGGCTGCTCACAGTCGCTTTGTTTTTCCACGGTAATAGGATGTCAATCTCAACTGCACTTCGTATTATAACACAACTCCGATGACCATACAACTGATGTACTGGTGACCTTAGCCCTGCGCCAAGGCTGTACTGAAGGCTAAACCCATGGATGTATAGTAACTCTATCCCTAAAGAGGCAAGTCTATAGAAGCGTACAGTACACGTCTGGTAGAGGGATATTAATATTTTTAGAAATTATTTAAACAATAATTATTACCTTAGAGACTTGTGTAAGTCTACGGTGACCTATTACCACCCTGAATTTCCAAATTCAAATGGATTATTGAGCCTGGAGACGTATCCTACTATGTTCAGTTATACTGTTGGCTGATCCGACATATTCACCAGCATTAAACACGGAAGGTGATCTTATCTTATTCTGTCTGCCCAGTATCGTTACACCTGTGACATTTGATTCCAAGCAGATATTTTTCTATTGGATATATCTTATGTGTTCCTCTGATATATAATTACAACTATTAAGGTGAAGTGACATTTCTGTTTGATACATGGTTCACTCAATGTCCCTGATTAGTAAACTTGTCAGGTATCAGTATATACAGAGAGATTCTACATATCATGCAATCAAGCGGCACCACTCCAACAGTGTTTCAGTTATATCACCTGGCGCCAGCTGGTGTGTGGGGAGTACCACTTTGATGTAATCAGGGCACACCTGTATGGTGGTCAGAAACCAATAATCATAATCTGGGATTCGAACCCAGACCACAGACTAAAAGACTGATGACAGCAGGTCCGTGTAGCGAAGTTGGGCTTCCATGACCACAGGGGCTTGTAACGCATAAGAACTGGCACCGAGGTATATGCTGTGACTGACAGGGCCTTAACACTATGCAGAAGGATCCTATATACCTTGAGTGAGTGAGTATTGTTTTACACCGCAATCAGCAATATTCCAGCTATATGGCGGCGGTCCGTAAATAATCGAGTCTGGACCAGACAATGTGGTTATCAACAGCGTGAGCATCGATGTACGGAACTGGCATACAATGACATGTGTCAACCAAGTCAGCGAGCCTGACCACCCGATCCCGTTAGTCGTCTCTTACGACAAGCATGGGTTACTGAAGGTCAATTCTAGCCCGGATCTTCACGGGTATATATGCCTTGACAGTATACACCTTGATGCCAGTTTTTGCGTTACAAGCCTGTGTCTATAACGTCTGTGTCAGCGGCGCTCAATCTCGAAAACAATGTTTCAGTTTTATCAGTAATTTCACGACTGTCAGCTTCATCTGGTTCAGGTAGAACCTGTTTCGCATCTCCAATCACACGAAAATATCCTCTGATAATTATAGGGTCAGCCAAATCAACCTCGTATCCCGAAAAGATACGCCACGATACATCAGGTCATTTGTAGCAACATGACAAGAATGTCTCATAATGACAACTTAATGACAATCGGCAGTTAAAACATCAGCCAATGACACTATCATCAAATTCTCGTTATGAAATTTAGTATTTTGAGACCAAGAATCTTTTCATTCACAATCGATCATGACTACGGGTTCAGACACCCACAGACACATAACTTAATACACTTAAGGAAATCCGGCTGTGCATGTGTTTGGTTTGTCAGGAACAAACGAAGCATCTAAACACGTGTTGTAACTCGGGTGGGGTGGAGTGTGTGGGTAAATCGTTGCGTTGGGTTGCCTCCCTTGGGAAAGTCAAAGACATTGATAATTTACACTTAACCGATCAGTCTATCCAAATATCACCCACTATATCTGTGACTAGGGTGGGTTGAAGTGTGTGGGTAAATCCTTGTGCCGGGTTGTCTCCCTTGGGAAAACCAGAGACATTGATAATTTACACTTAACCCATCAAACCAAATCTATCCAAATATCACCCACTATATGGTGTATATGTCTGCACATTATATTTGGGTGGAGAGACATTTCATAAATCTCATAATGATAAACTCATCAGCTTCTCTTTCCAACAAATACGTCGTTGCTTTATTAATGTTTCGAATTACTGAAATTTACCTGATTTTTTGGGTTGAGTTATCCAATCAGTTTTTGATAAAATTCTACATGGTAGCTGGCCGATATAAGTTTAACACAACATTACGATGACCGACCAGTTGGTTACTATCTGGTTTGAACGGCTCGTATGGACGGGTGAGGGCGTGGGAGGAAAGTCCGAAATGACGCTGGTGTCCGACGTTTACCATGATTGTAAAACCCCCGAACACGGGTACCTGGAAACACGGAAACACGGTCAGTGCGAAACAGCAATCGAACCTCAATCATAGATTTCACTAGTACGTCGATCTGTCAGGAAGATCCTAGTCAAGGTTAACCAGTACTTGATGACATAACCAAACGAGTCATCGTTTCCCAGGTCAAGAATATGCAGGGTGCATTAATCCCAAATAGTCGACAGGACACCGTGTGGCGTTGAACAACACACTGACAAATGAGATGTACGGTGCTCGCTGAACGAGCTTTAGTGTCATGTACGGTGTTCGCTGAACGAGCTTGAGTGTCATGTACGGTGTTCGCTGAACGAGCTGCAGTGTCATGTACGGTGTTCGCTGAACGAGCTTCAGTGTCATGTACGGTGTTCGCTGAACGAGCTTCAGTGTCAATTTTGTCTCACCTGCGAGAGGTATTCCAAGAATCTGTCCAAGACCGTTTACAAAAAACGTTGCAGCCCAGATGTAGTTCTTGACGGTCCCTGAAGGAGCTAACAACGACGTCGCCGAAAATAGCAGCGTCATGGTGATGCCGTCAGTAGCTCCGTGAACTGAAAATATGTAAAGTTCTTCTTGCACAAAGTACATGTTCTATCTTCTTGTTACCTTCTTGTCGTATTCACCAGCACGTCCTGAAAAACATTTGTTTTAAATTCACTTTCTGATATACATGTACAATGATTCAGATAAGCCGCTTGACCAATATGGACGGCACTACAGATAAAAGCAAAATATTTTCCTATCTAAATTTGTAGATGAACAATTTTTAAATTGTGTAATCCTTCCAAAATACAAGACAAACATGCTGTGTATAGGAAGTTTGTTATGAGGTTGCGCCTTGGCGTGGCCCAAAGAATGGAAAGAGATGACGAGATACTGACAGAAGTTGTGACAAAGTAGGATAAAGAAACAGCTGAAGACGCTGACAATTTTGAAACATATGATGGCACAATCCAGATTACTAACGCTATACCGCGAGGAGCTTCTTATGAAGCACTCAACGGTATGCGACTTAGATCATCCTTGAACGCTTCTTACAATATTCTTAGAGACCAACTCGCATATGAGTTGGAATCCACGTTCCTTGTGAATCCGATTCGTGTCCTTAGACAATCCTTCTTTTTTTTTAAATCCGTCTGAAAGAAGAAGCAAAGTTATTTCTAGATCCGCATCTCAGTATCTTCCATCTTGTTCCGTAAGGGCGTGGATCCTCAGCTTGCATTTCGTGAAAAAATTTAAACGCTGAATAAATCAAATTTTTGTTTCACAAAAATGTGTTAATTACAACTCATTGAGCCGTCTTACTACCCTGAAGTCGAGGGGGCGATCTTTGACAACAGAGGCAGTGTTTTATGGCAGGAAGATTCCAAAATTTAAACGATCGGGGCACAGTGGTAGACTAAAATCGAGTCACTGAAATGAACATATTTTACAGGAAAATGCTGTTCATAAAAATTTATCATAAAATATAATGAAAATGAGCCCAGAGACTTTCTTCATTACCAGAAACTGTGGAAATCTAGACTTGCCACATATTCCAGACTTGTATGGGCTTTCTTGAATATATTTGTTTTAGAGCCTGATAAGGCACTGTGGGTACCATTCTATCCACTGCACACGTTTGATCATTGGAATACTTGACGCGGGACTCATATTGTGCTACCCCTACCTCCACATTCTTTATGTCCACCCTACAACCACCCCACCCCCACCCAACCACCACCCAAAAATGCATTGCACATCTCTTCGTGGTCTTTCTTTCCTAAAATACTTATCGGCCTCAAATGTTCAAATTTGAATATTTGAAGAAAAAACAGAACTCGGTAATTTCACAGGCCGCAAAGTGGAATTTAGAATATTTTTTTTAATAATTGTGCATTCTTTTTCATTTATGGAATTGAAAAATTAATATTTGGGACACAACTCATAAATTGTTATTTTATCTATTTTGATCGTAGATAATTAGGGGTTTAGTCGTGTCAGTTCGTCCTGACTTCTTCCAGCTTTGTCAGATCGATACTCGTGATCGTTGGTCTCACCGGACTGGTCAACCTGTGGCAAACTCACACACTCACTCACACACTCACGCACGCACTCACTCATTCCTTGGTTCCAGTACACAGGATAATGTGCGCTGTATTTACTGTGAGGAGAGGTCGACGAAACTTGGTCACATTTCCAATCCGTCGGATTGAATCATTGCGCCTGGCGAAGTGGGTACTTTTAATCACACAGAAAACGCCAGGGGAATTCGCAAAGGGCGAAGTAAGATTGAACGTTTGTGCACTAATGAACATTCTTACTTACTTGAACAGTTCACAAGAAAATGAACATTCTTCCGTACTTGAACAGTTCACAACTAAATGAACATTCTTGCGTACTTGAACAGTGCACAACAGCACTAACAATCTTACTTACTTGAACAGTTCACAACAAAATGAACATTCTTACATACTTGCACAGTACACAACACAACTAACAATCTTCTTACTTGAACAGTTTACAACAAAATGAACATTCTTCCTTACTTGAACAGTTCACAACAAAATGAACATTCTTCCTTACTTGAACAGTTCACAACAAAATGAACATTCTTGCGTACTTGAACAGTGCACAACAGCACTAACAATCTTCTTACTTGAACAGTTTACAACAAAATGAACATTCTTCCTTACTTGAACAGTTCACAAGAAAATGAACATTCTTCCTTACTTGAACAGTTCACAACTAAAAGAACATTCTTCCGTACTTGAACAGTTCACAACTAAATGAACATTCTTGCGTACTTGAACAGTGCACAACAGCACTAACAATCTTCTTACTTGAACAGTTTACAACAAAATTAACATTCTTCCTTCCTGAACAGTTCACAAGAAAATGAACATTCTTCCGTACTTGAACAGTTCACAACTAAATGAACATTCTTGCGTACTTGAACAGTGCACAACAGCACTAACAATCTTACTTACTTGAACAGTTCACAACAAAATGAACATTCTTACTTACTTGCACAGTTCACAACAAAACTAACAATCGTACTTACTTGCACAGTGCACAACAAAACTAACAATCTTACGTATTTGGACAGTGAACAGCAAAACTAACAATTACTTGCACAGTGCACAACAAAACTAACAATCTTACGTACTTGCACAGAGAACAGCAAAACTAACAATCTTACTTACTGGCACAGTACACAGCTATTGCTATAAACCTACACAGTACAAAGAAATACGAGCCTTCTTACTTACTTGCACAGTACACAGCTATTGCTATAAACCTACACAGTACAAAGAAATACGAGCCTTCTTACTTACTTGCACAGTACACAGCTATTGCTATAAACCTACACAGTACAAAGAAATACGAGCCTTCTTACTTACTTGCACAGTACACAGCTATTGCTATAAACCTACACAGTACAAAGAAATACGAGCCTTCTTACTTACTTGCACAGTACACAGCTATGAGGGCGTCGTTCCTGACGAGGGTGAGCAGCCCAACACAGACGGCGATCACCGAACAACTCAGCACGTATACAAACAACAGGTAACGCCCTACAAAGTCACCTGCAAGTACAACAATTGACATGTGTGCGTTGATTGTTTCATAATTTCATAATGATAATCTTGTTACGAACCCATGCCAAGAGACCATAAGGACGTGCTATTCTTTTACATTTATAACAACAAATTCCACAGATTCCCATGAATGAATTTAGTTTTACGCCGCTTTTAGCAATATTCAAACAATATCGCGGCGGATGACACCAGAACTGGGCTTCACACATTGTATCCATGTGGGGAATCGAACACGGGTCTTCAGCGTGAGGAGCGAACGCTTTAACCACTAGGCTATCCCACCGCCCCCTTATTCGCATTTGTGGCAAAATAAGATATGAGATCAGTGATGACACCAGGTGTACGCGAGAAGTATAAGCAGCTCCTGCTCCATGACACCCGTCACTGCTAGAATGTTCATTGAAATCGTAAGTACGAGTAAGTAAAGAGACATTTATTTATACTTACAAGATGCATAACCAAAGCCTCACGCAACAGTACTGATTGACTATTCATCAATCAGTTTCAACATCCGGGTGATAAACACTAGATGTCAACAACATATTTTTATGTAATGACTAGAACAACACCAATGACACGTGCGCTTATTTAGCACGTGCATATCATGTTTTCACGAAGTTTCTGTTATTTATTTGTTTGAAATATGATATGAACGGTATGTAAGATTACCCGTCAATGTCGATGGGAAGAAAGTATCTGTCCATTTAATGGAGGCGGACATGTGTCAGGCTTAATATCAAGAACCATCCACAGTAATTAAGTTAATCGAAGGATGTAGGTTCATTAACCTGAGAAAGCCGTGGCGAAACTCAGAATGGCTTCTGCCATTCCCTCGTAACTCATACACATGGCTGCCACACCCAGGTCCATTTTGATGGATTCCATGTATTGCATCTGAAAAGGACAAGGAAGGTTGTTCATTTCATGGTGCGACCAGCATCCACATCTTCAAAGGAAGTGTTTCTTTTCTTTGAGTTGCATTTTAGAAGCTGAGAAGTACAATATAGAACAAACTTTATGGATAACCACGGTACAAGAATCTGTATCGAAATGTCGCACTCACGAATAAAAAAGTTGTTATCCATAAGTTTGTTCTATATTGTAAAGGAAGTGTTATTTAGTCGTTAGGGGCTAGATTAACTTAGTGTTCATTCTCTTGATCTCGACCTTTAAAAGTAAGCTGTCTCTCCCCTCATCACTAGAATGTGAGATCGCTTACAGTTTAGCTTAATTTCGTCTGTATCGCCTTATTATAAAGGTCATCGTTACTTTGCATTCTATGTTGTACTTTTTAAATGACTTGGGCCTTTATTGAGCTTAAATATTACAGATTACAGCTTTCAGTTGCGATTAGATAGGAACAAATATAAATTTTGAATGCCCTGAAGATCAGGGTTAGAATTCAGCATTCGTCATTAACCTATGCCTGACGGAATTGGGTGGCCAGGCTGGCTGACGTTGTTGACGCATGTCAACGTATCCAAACTGCGTAGATTGGTGCTCATGATGTCAATCACTGGATTGTCGGGTCCAGATTCAAATGTTTACAGAAGGCCGTCAAGTTAATCGAAATATTGCCGGGAGCGTTAACAACAAACAAACAGATCATCGTTCTCAAAACACCAAGCCTCGTCAATACTCCACAGATTTGTACACATCGAGAATTAATGACTGGCGAAAAACACACGACAAATGTTTTGCCCTCAGTGTCGGGGTACCATGGTAAAGGGCATGAAGCTTGAAGTGAATGTGAAATGGCTATCATGTTTCGGATTTAATAGCCTGGAGGTCTTAGGTTAAAAGGATTAACTGGTCTGACCAGCCTGCCAGTGTAAGGAGTATGTGAAATATGACCCGGTGTAGCCATGTAATCATATACATTTAGATACACGTGAAATGTCATGAGACGGATATGGATAGAAGGCAATTAATGTTCTCTGACTTTCACAGTGAAATAGATAGAATATATATGTAGTTTCGACGCATTTAAGAGACACATCATCTGGACACGGTGGTATTATTGAACGCGGGTTTTTAATGTATCACCTATTTAAATAACATGATATAATGTTTATATTTTTATCGATATCGTCAACTATTTAGTATATCACAAAATCAATTAATAGCAGTAAATATGTGAACATGTAAATATGTTAAATAAAGTAAAGATATTAAAAGTAGGGGTAATTTTGAAATAAATTCGTGATATCGGTTACGATCATAAAATAGATAATGATGTATCGATGCGATAAACCTGTCCGATAAGCTTGGTATCACGATCTAATAAATATGCAAATGAGCTCACCTAGCAAAACAAATTTTAAGCTCTACATATCGATTCAGTGTATCTATAAACTATTTACTAACGTTACCAATACGTTTTGGGGTTTCCAATGTGTCGACAATTCTGTGGGATATATGCGTGTCCTAAAGTTTCTTCATTGAACGGCAATACTTCTTGAACATATGTTATCATTAGGCCATTTTAGACAATTACCCTCGTGTTTCGGTATAACAAATATCATATACTATTAATAAAGAAAATGGGTTACGTGCGCTAAAGAATTGCATAACACATTTTATATTCCCAATGTAAAGTTTTCATGATATTGAAAAGCACCAGAGTATGGTAATGATTTATTATTTAAATATATAATTTATGATCTGAGTAGTAATGTCAAGACTTCAATTCTCTTCAATTGCCATCTATAATTCAATAGCATAATCAGTCAAATGAATCAACGATAACAGTACTATATACTGGATAATATATTGTAACATGACATTAAATATTGATGTCGTTTAATGGAATGATTATATCATTAAATTGACACAAGATGTCTCTGTTGTTTAAGACTTTGTACTTTGGTGTGCAGTATTGCATCCCCTGGTTGCAAAAACCTCCTTTGATTTTGGGTTAAAATCCACATTTTGCACAATCTCATGATTGCACTACGAACTAGCTCACTTTGGCCATTCTACATCTAATAGTGAGTGAGTGAGTTGGGTTTTAACAATGTTCCAGCAATATCCCTGCAGGGGAAATGAGCTTCACACATTGTACCCATGTGGGGGAATCAAACCCGGGCTTTCGGCGTGACGAGCTACACATCGAGATGTAACTGAAATATTGTTCACTTATGCACTCACTCACTCACGAATACTTACGAAGTGCACTTTAGGTACGTATATGGCAAACGACAAGAGGAATATTCCCGTTGTCCAGAGGCAAGTGTCAGTTATCAGTCTCGCCGTACAACCGACATAGTGATGACCCGAGTTTCCGTCTAAATCTTCGTACTGTTGAGGAGTCCTCTCATCTTCGGGCATTTCCGTTCGTTTCCGCATGATGATATTACAGAGGAGACCCACCACGAGCATAATGCCCCCGTATATTCTCATGGTATCTCGCCACGTGTTCGGGGCCACGAGATCCAGGTGCGCACTCAGCGGGTTCATCAGCATGGAACCTGAAGTTACAAGACTGGAAAACTTTATGTTTGTCTCTTGTCTTTTGACATATAATCTGAACAAACAAACCATACACTCCACAAGATGCTGCGTACGCCATTCAGAAGACTATGTCATGCATAGCAGTTACGGATGCCTTAGATCTATGATCGCGATGTGGAGCGCATCAAGTTATCTGGGGCCACGTTCTCAAAACGACCTTAGCTCAGTGTCATTGTATGAGCGGTATCATCATCTTAGCCCTAAGCTCGCATTGTGATTGTGAACCATTGACGTCTTGCTTGTGGACCAGGGAAGGATGGAAGTGGTTTTGTCTGTCGTTTTGGTATTGACATTTGATATCGGTATTGACATCAATCATTTCAGTGGAAACTAAAATAGCTTCTCAAACGATTTCAGAGGTGTGTGAGTGCATGGTATGTTAGCTCCACAGTCAACAATATTCCATCATAATCACAGCGGTCTATGAATAATCGAGTATCAACCAGACAAACTAGTGGATAACATCATGAGCGAGGATCCATCATGGGACCATGACGCCACTGCGTAATCACCACGTCTGGGCACCCGATCCTCTTTAATCGACTCTTACGAATTTCAAGGGGCACCGGGGATATGTTCAAGAGTGAGTGAGTGAGTTTAACGCCACTTTGAAATGTATTCCAGTCACATCGTTTGAGCCAAAGTGATACTGGTCTTACGTGTTTCCCTCATCGGGAAGATCCAGGTTGGAATTGGTCTTCAGTAACCCATGCTTGTCTCAACCCGTGAAGATCCAGGTTGGAATTGATCTTCAGCAACCCATGTGTGTCGTAAGAGGCGACTAAGGGATCGGGTGGTCAGGCTCGCTGACTTGGTTGACACATGTCATCGTATCCCAATTGCGTAGATTGATGTTCATGTTCATAATCACTGGATTGTCTGGTCCAGACTCGATTATTTACAAACCGATTCCATATAGCTGGAATATTGTTGAGTGAAACGTTGAACGACAAGCAAACAAATACACAAACGGATCACGCCACTCTGGAGGGCCCAGGTGCACGGGTATGGCGGTGACGAACCCGGAAACGCAATCACGGGGAACCGGAATAAGAACCTGGTTTAATACGTTCCTGCTGGACCAAGGGACTCGACCCCCACAACGAATTCACATGCCAACAGCACTGTACCTTCACGTAGCTATTGCTTTGTTTTTATGCCCGATGTGATATACGACTGACAACGTCAGACCGTTACTATGTCTGGATACATTCTGCTGACATTTGTCTGATTCAGCTTCTTCGACGTAATTTCTTTTTAAAATGTTACCAGCCAAAGGTTGAAATTGTCTTATCATCAAATGAGCTAGGCATCAGATAAGCGACTCAGCATCAATCCCGTGACAAGCATCCTAGCCGTGTGCCAACAGATGACACATCCCCGACTGATTGTAAACTGGTTCACTTTAAATTAACATCACGCCAGTCACAACCCTTTGATAGTCAGGCAGTGGCGCCGTTGGTCTCATCTGCCTCGGTAACGCCGTCGCTAGCGACGTTTCAGTAATATGCAGTACATCTATTTGTTGTACGAGGGTACGTGCTGTTTGACAAAGTTCCAATAATTAGAACGTGGCCCTCTAAACAGTTACAACTACTGCGTCTGTTTCCTGTTTTCTTTCTGCGAAATTGAAATAAGGATGGTGTATTTGTTGAAAAATGGATGGCAAATCGATAACGCATATATATATACAGGGAGAAAATGGATTCTATTTGGAAGTAAATGCGTTGTATATTTCCACGTGGCCTGTAGATCCTTTGATCTCCAATGAGGAAGCTGTTTGATGAATTGTATCACCGACATTGTCGTCTCGGTCAAGGCAGGTCCAATAACGAGAGATGAGAGAGTGAGCATGGTTTTACGCTGCTTTAAGCAATATTCCAGCAATACCACGGCGGGGGACACCAGAAATGGGCTTTACACATTGTCCCCCTGTGCGGAACCGAACCCAGGTCCTTGGCGTGACGAGCGAACGCTTTAACCACTAGGCTACACCACCGCCTCATCCCTCGATGACCGTTGTCTCGAAGTAATGTTTACATCAAAACTAATCCACAGCCTCAACTGAACCTTGATGTTAATATCCACCCTTATTTCGAAGTTTACTTGTGTCGAATGTCGTCGCGCTTTGGTCTTTACTTTCACAATGTGATGTGTGACGTTATTGAAAGCTGGGGGTGAGGTGATGTGAAATTGGGTTTAATGTCGTGCTTGAGAATATTTCGCTCATATGACGACGTGCATGCGTGTGTATGTGTATGTGCGGCTGCTTGTACTAGCCCAGACTGGAGCTGGTTTTATAGTGCTAGCCCACTGAGATACCATGCCGCAGTGAAGCATGAATACCCCACTCAGACACATTATACTGACTCCGAGCCGACCAGTCCTTGTTGTACCCATTAATGTCGAGCGCCAGGCAGGGACCAACAAATACCATATTTTAACGTCTTTTGGTGTGGCGCGGTCGGGGATCGAACCCGCGACCTTCCGCTCTCCGGGCGGACGCTCTAACTACTACACCACGGAGGCAGTCGCCCCTCATGCCAAAAAGATCTGGGTTCGATTCTCTACATAGGTACACATGTTGAACCACATTTCTATTCTCCACCTCCGTGAAGATCTTGCTGCACTGTTGGTTCAAACTAAATAGAACTCACTTTTGAAAAACACGAACCAGTACAATCTTGTCAAGCTATACATTAACGATTGATCGTAGCTTCACATAACAACGCTACAAAAACTGATAATCTGAAGAAATCGGAATCCTTTCAACAATTCTTCATTGGTAAATCCTGTCGTGTACTCCAATTACGTTCACTTGGAAATGCAAAGTGTACTGACATCACGTCTTGGAGGTAGCCAGCACAAGATGAATACACTACCATGCAAAAGAAAGTATACGCCTAAACGTTTGACTTACATGGCTATCAAAACGTTCAATTCATCGAAACACTGCAAACTCAAGGCCACATCACTATGATACTCAAATCGTATACATCATCATCATCATCATCATCATCATCATCATCATCATCATCATCATCATCATCATCATATCTTCATTATAATCATCGAATAGTCATTGTTTTATTTTAACCACCATCAAGTCGTGATGTATACTATCTTCCTGTCGATATTTAGTTTACATGTACTTGTACTAAAGGCATGTAACAAGTTCCAAAGATGACCATTGTCAGTAATAGTGTGATTACACCTGAGTAACGTTGATGTAAGGTGTGAAGACATTGTAATATTACAAACCTACAGGACTTCCAACGTTCATCAGACTAGTTGCCAGGATGTGGTACTTATGTGACGAAGGGAAGTAACTCTCGATGAGGGCGTAAGGCGAGTTCATAACGAGGCTGGATCCGACGCCGAAGACGACGCAGTAGGTGAGAAACAGCCAGCTCAGATCTGTGATGAAGGACGACAAGGTCATGGCGGCAGACGACAAAATGACGCCCACGAAGAAAAGCAGACATGTTGGCAGACGCTTCTGTAGAGAGACAATCAGCCAGCAGAAAAGCCGATTAATGCCGAATGACAAGGCGCCGATCCATGCTGGAATGGAGAGACAGGGTAACATAATGTGATTTCTGATTGTCCCTGGTTGTCTTGGTTCGCTGTTCTCGTTACAATATGGTTCAAACTGGATCAGTCAACGGGTACCGGTTTTTACTAGGAAACGATTTGAAAGCGACTTAAACCATATTAATTCAGGGCCACAATGAAGAATTCAATATTCAAAGAACGTACACTATCCAAAGAAGCAGTATGGGGACATTAACGGGAGGAGGGCGAACGTGCATATCCCGCGCAACCCTGTAACACCTTTCGGGATGCTAGCAGGACCTGCAAAGTGACCCTTTTCAATGGGAATCAATGACTGTCCTTTGTTTTAAAGAGTTAACTCACAACAGGTCTACGTTTATATGTATTTTAACTCACAATAACTGGCATACAAACATACAAACATACAAACATAACATATATATAAGTGCGTAAGTAATGGCAGTAGCCTGAGGCATCGTGCAAAGTAGTAACGCGAGAATGTCACTTGAAACCGTATCATTAAAGTGATTATCAGTTGTATTCGTGCCCTTCACAGTATAGGCCAAACACCTTGAAAAATTGAAATCGTCCCTCGTTACAACAATGTGATTCTACGTATCTTGCATTTGTGTCTACCAGTAATGGGGCAACAATTTAATGTCGAGACTGATCCCCCTATTTTATATTAGCAATTATATTTTTGATAATTTCTCAAATCAAGCAGCCACCATCTGGTTTTACACCAGTGATACATTAATTGTTCGTAGAACATGCTTGATGATATTAAAACATGTTCCCGCTTCTGCTATAGAAATGAAAATAAATGAGACAAAACACTTCACATATCCACAAGAATCCTCTGCCATGATTTTGTTTGTTTGTTTGTTATTTAACGTCGCGTTCAGCAATATTCCAGCTATATGGCGGCGGTCTGTAAATAATCGACTCTGGACCAGACAATCCAGTGATGAACAGCATGACCATCGATCTACGCAATTGGGATACGATGACATGTGACAACCAAGTCAGCGAGTCTGACCATCCGATCCTGTTAGTCGCCTCTTACGACAAGCTGTTCATATAGTGCATCATTTCTGTCACTAATCTTTCAAATTTGTAAATGTATGCTTTGAAGGAGGATAACATCTCTGACAAAAATCCATGAATGGTATGTGTCTTTCAGCATCGAGAGAGTTGCGTTGAGTGAGATTATCATCCAAAACTGTTCACGGGAGATATTGCTTGTGTGAGATAAAACGATATCTCCTAGAAAATATCGTTTTTACAGTAGATTTTGTACAATGCTCTGACGTCATGAATTACATGCCTCACAATGCTATGATGTAAAAAACCCGATGACGTCAGACTGCTATGACATCGATGCACTGCAAGTCTAATGGCAGTACTGTGTTCAGAGATGTACATTTTTCATTGAAAACTAATGAAGAGGATTTTTTATGATAAATAGAATCTCACCCTCATGTCTTCTGATATCAAATATACTCATGCCAATAATGGTTGTCACCCCCTTCAATTTTTTTAATTGGAGAGGGTGTGGGGTGTGAGGTGTGTGTGGGGTTGGGTTGGGGGGGGGGGGTGACAACCATTATTGGCATGAGTATATATCAACACTCGTTGATAAAAGTAAAAATATCTGTAAATTTATCAACTCGTGGTGATATTTTTGATATCAAAAGACACTCGGGTGAGATTCTCTATTTATCACAAAATTTCTCTATTCCGGCATGTCAATCTGAATGGGAGCGTTGGCGATGGAGGCAAGCACGAAACCGACTGAAACCGAATCGCACTTGTCACACCGTTTGGACAAGAAGAAAATTCAGTGGGTGTTTAGGGATGAAATTACGTTTGTTTTGTCGATGGAGCTGAGTATGACAACAACTGCCGCCGAACTGTACCTGTCTAACGCCAAGGAGAAAAGTGGGTGTTAGCTATAGGAAACTGCACTTTTAAACGAGACACCATATTTACTAGCTAAGTGCGCTAGCAGGTCAAACAGTAACACTCTGAATGTGTTATCATAAGGATACACACTACCCAACTTTTTGTTTGTTTGTTTGTTTGTTTGTCTCTCTGTTTGTTTGTCTGTCATTACTGATGTCCTTTCAACTTCGACTGCTCGGTATTTGTTTATGTAATTGTTTAAATTGATCGATGTTATTCTTTGTATTTTTGTCACGATATGGCTGAGATATTGCCGATGTGACGATAAATATTAACTCACTCACTCACTTTGTATTTTCACCATGAAACTATGAGTGGTGTGTTGAAGTGTTGGCTCGTCACCTTGTAAAGTATGTGATGTGGTGTCCGTCTGTGTTCGATTGCTAGAATATCAGTAAAAAGCCTCAAAACCAATTACTCATCCTCGACCTTTTGAAAGAGTGAGTGATTAATAACGCTACTTTTAATATACTAAGCAGCAAAAGAAACGTCAGTTTGGAATTTTCCTTCGCAGAAACGGATAACTGTATATACATGTAAACTCATTTAATGTTTCGATTGTATATTGTTGACAACATCTCCAACTTTATCTGAGCAAAGACATTCCTTCCCAAACTCAAAATGGAACCCAGGAAATGGTCTCAAAAACGCAACCTGATCTCGGAGATGGTACGGTGTTCTCCATGTTTTTCATGCAACTCATGCTACACGTGCTGTTCACAAGGACCAGCTCTATAAAATACACCTCCAAACCTGGTTGAAACATTCACATTACAACGTCAGCAGGATGCCGCGACTCACGACAGCTCAGAGAAACCAGGCGCTAGGAAGACTTGAAACTGGCGACACTGCACAAGCCGTTGCCAATAAATTCCAGGTCAACGTTCGGACCATCTGCAGGTTGCAGCAACTTTTCTGGGCCACCAACACCATAAATGATCGCCCCCCGTACTGGCAGACCAAGGGTGACCACAAGACGACAAGACTGCCATGATGTGCGACAGTATGTACAGAATCCCTTCATGCAGGCATGCGAAACAGCACGCCAGACAGTGGGAACACACGGAAAAACAATCAGTACTGATACAGTACGCCGACGTCTTAACAGCGCGAACATCCATTGCCGTAGACCTTACCGTGGACCTATCCTCACCCCTCGTCATCGGCGTGAACGTCTACAGTTTGCCCTACAACACCAACACTGGCGATACAGGCAATGGAGAACTGTTCTGTTCACAGATGAGAGTCGGTACTGCGTATCAACTGCAGATGGCAGAACAAGAATATGGCGACGACGTGGCCAGCGTTACTCAGACCAATGTGTTATGGAAAGAGACTCATGGGGAGGTGCAAGCATCATGGTATGGGTGGAATAGTCCTGAACCAGAGAATGGGTCCTGTGGTGTTCCGGAACCTTGGTCCAGGGAGAGGAGGCGGCATCACAGCGGTGCGCTACATCGACCAAGCTCTCAGACCCCACATCATACCACATTTTGCACGTCACCGGAACAACATTTTCCAGCATGATAACGCCCAGGCCTATACTGCCAGAGCTACGCGGGACTTCCTACATGATGCAGTGGCCAGCCCTTAGTCCCAATTGAACATCTTTGGGATGAAAGTCAGAGGAGACTGAATAATGTCATACCAAGGCCAACACAGCCGATTTATTGCGCCAGGCCTTTCTCAGAGTGTGGTTCCAGGTGCCAATCAATCGATTAATGCACTCCATGCATAGACGCTTTTGTTGCAGTTATTGCCGCTCGTGGTGGTCACACTAGATGCTGAAGTCAAGAGTCTGAATGGACTGCAAACGTTCACGTAATGTCTTGAAATTGTGCTGAGTTATTCAGTGATGTGTCAAGATATTGTACACAAATAATGGTTTTGATCCGCTTATTATGTCCATTTCTGTAATGATTTGATTACAGTGCCTATCTAATTTTGAATTCGTACTGACGTTTTGTTGGGTTTTTTGCTGCTGAGTATAGTTTTAATATTTTAATGTGGGAGGAAAGTTTGAAGTGATGAAGTTGTTTTACGTCTTTTGTCAAACCCACGAACTGTGACTCGAGCCCAAAATCACAAGTCCAAGGGACTCAACTCAAATTGACTCTCTGTCCTTCGACTGTATGATACCAGGCAAAAAGCCTTCAAATGTTTTAAACAACAACATTTGTAGACATAAATGTTCGGTATCAGCGTAAATAAGAACATGATCATGATTCACATGGTGTCCTGTATCTGAGTCACTACAAGCTGCTCTTCTGAAATAGACAAATACAAAACAGCAGTTTCTCAAATAATCTGGATGAACATGTTTCTTAAATTCTTGCTGAACACATTTAAAGATGGAATTTCAGATATTTAAGAGAGTCTACTTTTTACCAGTGCTTATTGTGTAAATAAAATCTTCCGTGTCGGAGGAACAGACTGGCAGCATGAACATGGACGTGATGCAGTGGAGAAAGGGGCTGTGGTGGTAGCCTAGTGATTAAAGCTTTTGTCGTCACACTGAAGACCCGGGTTCGAGTCTCCATATGGGTACAATGTGTGAAGCCCATTTCTGTTTTTCCCCGCCGTGATATTGCTGGAATATTGCTAAAAGCGGCGTAAAACCATGCTCACCTATTACCCTTCTTACACGTGCAGATCCTTATTAGAATGGATCATGTTTGTCGTAAGAGTAGACTTACGATGACATGTGTCTGACCATGCTATTTCGTATCTCCGTTAGATCGATGCTCATGATGTTAGTCACTGGATCGTGTGGTCCAGGTTGAATTTTTTACAGACAACCGTCATGTAGCTGGAACTGGAATATTGCCAAGTATGACGTTAAACAACAAAAAAACAAAACAAACACCTTCTTACATGTGCAAATTTAGCACAGAGCACAATGATTCGATTCATTTTAAAACCATTTAACTTTCATCAAACACAAAACACACTAAAATTGAAAAGAGCGTTATGCATCGTGTATGGTCATCTATCTCATCTCGAACTTGTTTTGCATATATTTTTGGAGGTTTGCGTTAAATTCA